TGTGTCAGACGTGTCGAGACAACAAAGACACAACTAAGGGTTGTGTATAACACAAATGAAGGCGTTCATTGTGTCACAGTTTTCATCATTCACGTAATCTTGTCCTGAAAATTATTCAAAATGAAAAAAATTAAAATCAGACGTCATGTTTTTTATTATTGGAAAATTAAAATTAAAACGAAAATTGAAAAAGTAAATAAGTAATGTAGGATGAGATTGTTCCTGTGTGTGAAGACTGAGCAGGTAAAACCTCTAATGTATGGTTTCAGTTAAAAAGACTCATAAATGTAGGTCAGTCTGTTTAAAGAGACGTTGTCTTTGTACCTCTCACGTTGATATCCATGCAGTGCTCATTTCCACCTGCATTGTTTGGTTCTCCTGGACCCCAGTTAGTGAAGGTGAAGAGGGTACCATCGACCCATGTCCATGCACCATTCTGTTAAAATATTTCAAACATCAGATCTGTTTTAACATTTAGAGAACTCTAAATCTCTCTAACTSTRAAGTTRRMTATGTTGTATATTTGCTACTAAAASAAAAYTGTAGCATWATTTTGGGATAAAACTCTTAACTTGGGACATTCAGACCTTCTTYGTGCAGCCCCGTAATTCTGTTTGTAATATTCAAGGAAGAAGAGTGACTCTTCTTTTGATCTTATCTTTTGGTATTCCCCCTCCTTATTTAATTTGCTCCAAACAGAGTCAAACCTGCATTCCTGTGATCGGTCTCTGTGTAAGAAAAAAAAAAACAAATTGTAAAAGAAATCCCTTTCATGTTTACTTCAGGACAAAAGCCAGACTTTAAATTCATTATCACCTCCCTGAGCACAGACTGGTAGAAGCTTTTCCTTTACTTCAAAGGACATTGAACTGAGAAACCAGATTTTTGTTGGAAAACTTCAAAGAAACCACAAGGGCAGGTCTACAGGTTTCATCTGTGACTCAACAGCATCTCCCGAAGGCCGCTGCTCGTAATCGCATCATGAACTGGACCCTTGTAATCACCATGTTTAACTCATAAGTGCTCACTCTGTAATAATTATTAAAAAAAACCCAAAAGAATGTAGTTTATGCTGATTTAATTAACTAATACCCACATCATTGTCAAAATCCTGATGTGCTCAAAGATTAAGTAAATAAGATTGGTTTCCTTCCAGTCTGAYTATAAGAAATTGGATCAGAATCTCATAGCTCCATCCCTTTGTGGAAAATTTGAGCCAATCAGGAGACTTATCTGAACACAAAGGGCCATAACGTTTTGCCATTTCGTTAGTTCTGAAAAAGTTTCTGAAGAGTTAACAGGTCAGAGAGAAGGGTTAAGTTTTAGCTCCCCCACCTGGGGCGAGGTCGTTAATTTTAAGTGTTATTTTGTAGCTTTTGTGGACATAGCTTATTGGAAGAATTAAACTGGTTTAAACTTCTGAAGCTGATCTCCAGTCAAGATTTGGGACTGTGTGGTCCTGTGTTTTGTTGGTGTATATTTAGGGGTCCAAGCCCGAGGAAGCAGGGTAACGCAGCTGCAAAGCAGCAGCGTTTC